ATTAACCCTCCTGGCGTTTCCCCTCTCTCTTAGTTTCTTACTTCAAGCGGCAGACACATTTTAGAAAGATGCTACCAAAAGTGTCGAGGGTCGGACAAAAGGTATGCTTTCCCCCTTCTCCTTCAATTTGTGGTTAAAAGGAGTGAAACTGAGAAAGCATATATGATTCAACGAAATAAAGATCGGTTAAGTTGGAGGTCATTCAGAAAACAAAAATGTCAGCTAAATGTTAGCTGCATCACTCCTGAACTTGAGTAGGAGAATAATCTTGTCGTGCATACTCTGAACTCTTGGAAGTAAAACTGTTTCAAAAACCTCAGTTTGGCCACTGATTTTTACTCCTATTTCAATAAAAACTAACGGGGGTTTACCTTTTTTTTGAAATAGCCCTCCAAGCCATCATATGCGAAGCATTTTGATAAAGTAGAGCATAATGCTGAACCTAAATGCTATAAAAAGAAACTGAGCATATTGTACCATTCTGGGGGTTGAGACTGCTACGAGTATTAATAATTTCACGAATAAAACGAGTATTTTCTCGTCTGAAAAGAAAAACTAATCCTCAGAGTGCCAAACAAGAATTTCGTTCATCTTCTGCTTTCTTTTCCTTTTAGTAGATTTTGGAAGTCTATGAATTTGGTTTTTTCCATAAGCTTTGCGCCCAAGGTCCTTTCTCATAATGTTTAACATTGAACCCTTCAATATTTTTGGTTCTCGGGCTAGTTTTCCAGAAGATCTTTGTTCGTTTCGTTGTGTCCTTTCCCTGTTCTTCTTCACAGTATCTTTCGTCTGAACAGACAACGGTTTACCAGATCTTTTTCTACCATAGACTGAGGACATCTCACTATACTTTCTTGTGTAAAGGAAATCTACCCAGGGCTTTCAAGTCTCTGAAAATTCTACCAGGCTGTTTTCCTTTGATGAGTTAATCTATCACGTTTTCTTTAAGCTTCGCAATTCTACTTAGATAAAGAAAACATTATAAATAATACAATATTTAGACTTTCAGAAGCTTAGAAATACCTTATGCTTAATATCCTGGAAAGAATTTGGAGTACAGTGACAAATATATAATTACTTAACTTGCTTCAAATGTTATATGAGTACTTATATACACAGTATAGATGCAGCTACAGGAAAATGAATTCATCAGTTGCACATAAAATTTAATTTAAGATTATTAATAAAAAAAACGATGAAAAGTTTAGTTTCTTCAAGTAAAAAAAATCCCTGAAAAATTTTTAAAAAATTGGTTAATGTGTGCATAATTAAAAGGTTGAGTTTCCACTGAAAGAATGTGGATGATTTAGGATACCATAGACGAAATAATTTTGGAACCGCTGACCTAACTGAAAGAAAAATATGTAATTAGACTACATTGAAAATTGAAAAAAAAAACGAGATAAACCTTTTCCTTTGCTATATCAACAAATTTATTAAAACAACCAGCCAATCAATCATTCTGAAACATAAATATTTTTTTAATACAACAAATACAGGCAATCATGTATTCTCCATGTAATAAATTACTTTTGAGGCATTTGAAGTACAGTAATAAATCATTTTATTATTTTATGAATTGCCGAAAATAACAACAATTTAGCTTAGGGTACTAAAGGTCAGACATTTTACACATCACTAACTCTGGCACATTAAAATTTTTATACCGAAAAAAATTCTCTCGTGAAAGGCATAATTTTAAGGCCTGCTCCGAAGAAACTTAAATAATTTAATCTTCAAAGCCATCGGATTGTTGCATAGTTTTAAGTACAGCACTGCTTCGATAATTTATGCATATTAAGAATATCTTATAGCATCAAAGTTTTGAAGAGTAATTTCAGGTAGGCAAAAACACTTACATTTTGCAAGTCAATAACAGTTATAACAACATACAATTATACAAAGCACTATTTTTTGTTGAGCATTTATAGAAAGTAAACGCTTAAGCAGAAAAAAAACACTTGCAGGTCATATTTTTTATATTTAAAGCTTAAAAATAATAAATGAAACGAAGAAACAATCATTGCATAGATAAATTAGGATCAGTACCAAAATCTGAATTAAACTTTGCTTACTGTATTATCCTGGTCCACATCTTGTACCAAGCGTAAGCAAAAGGTAAAAAGAATAAATCTAATGGAATTTTTCCGAATGTAAACAGCAATAGTATAAATAAATATTAACAATAAATAAGTAAGTAAATATATATCATACTTCTATGCATCATAAAAAATATATTATTCCAATGGGATTTACAAACAATTTTAGGTAAACCTGTTTTTAATTAAAAATTAATTCTACTTCATTTTAATATTTAAAGCAAAATTAATATGTATATAAAAATAATTTTAATAGTAATAAAATAAATAAATAAATAGTTGAAACTTTTTTAGTCCTTTTTGTCCAAAAACCATAAATTTGAAATCAATGATTACAGTCAATATCTTAGCACTAAAAAGTTACTTTTAAGATTTTAACTGGTAAAATGCAAAAAGAACTTTGTAAAAATATCGAAACAAAATACTAAGCTATATCTTTTTTTATAGTAGATAATGGTACTGATACAAAGTAATATTTAGAAACAACACACTAAGAGTCTTTAACGATAATAGGGGTTTCTTTGCTTTCTTTTTTTGCTATCATAGTCTCTTTCAATAAGTCAGGAACAATGGGTCTTGCAGAATCGTCTGAGCACTCTGCCTTTCCATTTACCAGGGAAGAAGTTGGAAAAAACGTTCCATTTTGATTCTGGGGGTTAGAGGAAGCCCGTTTAATGCATTCATCATGCCCACCGGTAAAAGAAGCTTGTGGGCCAGTATTGTAAGATTTTTCAAGCAGCAATCGAAGGGGTGGATTGAACTTGCTCCTAACTCTATCAATGCATGCGTCATCGATCACGAAATCATTCAAATCAGAAGATTTATTTTGATAGCAGCAATCAGTGGGGCAAAACGAAGAGCCTTGACTGCTCATGAAGTATTCTGGTAATTGCTGAATGTCTTTTTCGTCACCATCTTCTTCCAAGGAAGACTGAGCCACGTTGCTCGTTTCGCCAGCTTTTGATGCGTGATGCTCTTTGTAACGCTTAATGAATTCAGTGAATGGGTCAGCATTATCGGGAAGTTCTGGAGCCTTCATTTCCATTGGATCTTTAAGCTCATCGACTACAGGTAAGCTCTCTTGCTCAATACTTGATTTATATTTCCCAACAGGGTTATTGAACTCTTTGTCCCCTTCCGCTAATACATCGGCGTTACCATAACTAAAAGCGCCACCATCTAACGATATGTTTGAGGATTTCTGAGAGCCTAAAGGAGGGTTGTATGCGCGATTGCCGGACATTCCAATGGGTCTGTCCACTGGTGCACTGGTTCGCCTGTTCAAAAGACTTTTGAAAAATGTGTGCAACACCGTGTCTCCTTCTCCACTAGCAAGCTTTGCCTCCAATTTTTTCTGCGGAGAACGGACACCAGGGGACCGCGAAACCCTTCTTGAGGTATTTCTCTGCGTTGACGTGGCTGAGAAAGAACTATCTCTATTGTTGGGATCAGGAACTTCTAAGGGCTGCCTCAGTGATGACTCCAAAAAGTGTAAAAAATCTTGATCAGTTTGTGCTTCGACTTCGGTGCAGATTCTTTTTTCGTCGCACAGTCGACTAGGCTTGATGATGACGTCCTCAAACGGGGACGAGAAAGCAATAGTTGCCAGAGATTCAGCTAAAGTTAGTATTTTGTTCTCACTATCCCATCCCGCAGGTACAAAAATAGAATCTCGATCAAGAAACATCGCGGGAATTCTAAACGGAAAGCCGTACACTTTATGCAAAATATATTTCAGTAAGATATCACAATTCCGATCCTCTTTTACTGACACATAGAACAATGATGCACCGTATGATAAACAGAATTTCCTGAGCGTCAGTTGCATGAAATCAAAATGTTCATCTACGTAACCAAATTCAGTTTGCAGGGTCGTCATATAGTCATTATTAGTAATAACTACTATAATATCTAAGCCTAAATTGTGTTCGATTTCTTCGTTGCTGTATTGATCCTCTAGTGAACCGTAGATACTTTGTGTTGGTTCAACGTACTTTCTATATCTATCTAAAACTTTTGATCTTTTTTCTTCCATGATATCTGGTGGTATGTTCAAGCTTGCAATATGTTTATCCAAAATCTGCACCCACGTGCAGATGGAGTAGAAAATGTTCCACGGTTTTGCCATCGACGCAGTTAAAATCACCGTGGTATCTGATATGACGTCACTGTTCAGAACGTATTTCAAAAGTCTCTGGAAGCAAGGGTCCTCGTCCAACATCCAAATGTCGAGTTTAGTTGAGTTTTCGCAGTATTCATCTCTAACATTGAGGAAATGATATTCAAGACCATTACCTTTCCGAAGCTTTTCTCCACTGCCTTGAAGTCTTGCAATCAGCTGAGCTTTTCCAGCATCATCATCACCCAACACAAGAACAGATTTGGAAGAAGGCAGTTTGTTTGGCGCGTTTGCCTGACACTCTGCCATCAGTTGGAGCCAAAAACTTTCACCTGGATCTTCGATGAGAAATTCTTTCTCTAATCCAGCATTTTCAGACGTTGTCGCCTCGGAATCCATTTCTTATGAAAATTCTGAAAAATATTTTTGAAAGAAATGGATTAAAAATTTAAAATATGGACAAAGAAAAGTTTAAAATACATATAAATTTAGTTTTATCGATAATAAAAACATTGTGGTTTTTTTCTGATTTCGCTAAATAGTTTAACTATTTTGCATAATACATCAAAAAGCAACGGAAATACCTTCAAGAGAAAAGGATTAATGGTCTTCAACTGCATCTGCATATACGAAAACGTAAAAAGTTTGAGGTTAGAAAAAGTGTCTCTGAAATTTAAATTGTTTCATGAGCTCTCTGATAATTCAACATTTTTATCGGTTCTGAAAAAACAGGACCCTTCTCTATTTTGGCACTGGGGCAAATGATTGCTTACATTAGCAGAAAGCACTTTTTCTTTTTTTATCAATTTATTTATTTATTGGAACCATATAGTTATCATGTATATCTATCTATTTTTTCCATCATGTTATTTAGGACCATAATATTTAGTTTTCCTTCATAATAAAACTTTGAGTAATCAAATTACCAACTAAAATATGAACTTCTTAAAAACGTAAGTACTTACGTCACGAAAACAGCAAATTTTTATTTATGCCCTTAAATTATTTTATGCCTTATTTGACCTGTTTGAAACGGTAATCTTCTCAATTGTTTACTTTCTCGCTTCAATTTATTTGGGAACAAAATATTGAGCAGGCATATTTATACTCTCAATTACGCTGGGAAGCAAATTATTTATTATGTACATAATACAAGTACTTAATCTTATCTAGTTCGGGTGCGAGGATTTCAAATCTGAAATTAGTTTTGTTCCAAAAGCAACAGATATTTATTAAAATGGTATTTTTTAGTTTATTTTTATTTTTTGTCTGAATGTACAAGTTTTCATATATATATATATATATATATATATATTTTTTTTTTT